TGGGGGAAGTTTCTTAGGAGGAGAATGGTTCACTGGAGGAAAGTAAACATCACATTTGTAGCGGACACTGAGGTTCCCAAATCAGACACCTCACTTCACACTGAGCAGCCTTTGTTTTGCCAGCTACCGAGGGGTTGGCAGCTAGCCACTTGTGTGGCAGGGCCCCTTCTGAGATAGTCCTCAGCTGACCCGAACTACTGTTTATGCAGCATTCCTTCTTCCCAGGAGCCCACATCCAAGGTCTGTCCTGTCCAGCTTCCCTGAGAAAGGCCAATTCCAGATGATTCCAAGGACCATCCCAACTCCATGGACCCATGCAATTAGCTTTAGCTTTTAGTGTGAGTTGTGATCCTTCTCCATTCTCCTGCTTCTTTTGCTGCCTAGCTGGCAGCAAGGACTCCTCAGAATCCCCTGCTTTCCGGTCTTCATCTCAGAGGTCAATTTTCTGAGAACTTGCTGGGTAGTGTGGTGTCATCCAATCCAATGGTCCTCGTATGTCCATTAGGCTCATGTTGAGACAGTGTGTCAGGCTGAATGGAGTCCCTCTCCTCTCCTAAATTCATAGGTTGAAGTTCTGTGATCAAACTGCCTTAGCCTATGACTGTATTTGGAGCTAGGATCTTTATAGAAGAGAGATCACAAGTCTAGAACCTAATAACTGGTGTCCTTCAAAGAAGAGGTCAGGACATAGACACAGGCTCAGAAAAGATCCTGTGAAGATGCAGGGGTGGGCAACACAGACAAGCCGAGGAGACAGAGGCCTCAGGACAAGTTAACCCCCACCAGAACTTGTCCTTGCCAGCCTCCAGATCTGGGAGAAAATAGATTTCTGCGACGTAAGCCCGTTTCCCTGTGATGCTCTGTCACAGAATCCCAAGCACAGGTAGATTTTGGGGTGCTTCTTCATTTTGATTCCTACTCTCTCATAATTATACTTAAGGTGTAAACTAAAATTCAACTTGTGTGTGTGTATGTGTGTGTGTGTGTGTGTGTGTGTGTGTGTGCGTGCGTGCACTCATGTGTGTGCGCCAGTACTGGGGCTTGAACCCAGGATCTTGAGCTCTCTCTTGTTATTGTTGTTGTTGTTTTTGCTCAAGGCTATTGCTCTACTATTTGAGCCACATCTCCACTTCTGGCTTTTTGATGATAATTGGAGATTAGAGTCTCATGGACTTTTCTGTCTGGGCTGTCTTTGAACTCAGAACCTCAGATCTCAGCTTCTTGAGTAGCTATACTTACAGACATTGAGCCATCACTGCCTGGACTTTTTAAATTGCCTCTTAAGGATAATTATGCAGAGCAATAAGTGCAACTAGATAAGAGTTTTCATAGTCCTTCCAAGGCGTCAACGTAATTGTATTTTGAGAGGTGATTAGAGAAAACACGAGTGATCCCATTTTCATTATGTCACCTTTATAGGATATTCCCCATGAATCGACAGTAGATGTGAATATGCATTATAGACCTGCACTGAACTTGTAGTTGGTAGGGAAACCCCCTCCCCCCCTAGCAATAACAATGTTTTCAACTTCTGTCAATCAACCTTCGTTTGCTGTTTTGTGCAGCAAGAGTTCAATTTGGCTTTCTGTCTTTAGATAGCTCAAAACACACCAGGACCAACTTGTAGCTTCCTGCCCTGCCACGGGGTAAGAGGACAAAGCTCCTAGGAAAGAGTTGGCAATTTAAGAGATTTCCTTTTCAGCCTTTCAATTTTCCTGAGCCAGCCACTTTTACCCCTGCCAGCAGTGCCTTGGTACGTGTTTGACTCTGAAATAAAACCAAACAATCCCTGCATAGGAGAGCCATGGGGTGTCTACCTCTCACTGCAGGCCTGCAGGTACTACAAGGGCCCTACAGGTGTGGCCACCACCTCTCCACACGTTCATATTTGTACTGTGGTCTCAGGACTTGCTGAGGTTTTTCCAAGGGACTGGAAGTATTTGTCAGTTTAATATAGGTTTTCACAAAGGATTACCCTGGTCATATATTCATGTCTGATGTCTCCCTTGTTGCTGCTGGAACCAGAAACCAGGAAGCTCAGGGCCACCATGTACAGTCTCCATCATAGTCCTAAGTCTGCTCTCCCACTAGGCCTTCCCTTCTACTCTGCTTCTGTACTCTGCCTCTTGGGACTGGTATGAGCTGTGCCAACTCCACTTCTCCTGTGCTTCTAACCTAACCCACACCTGTCAGTGGGAGCATGCATGTGGCCATCATAATTCTAAGCAATGGATCTGGCTAATCATCACAGCAATCCCTCCAGGTGGGTGCCACTCTTATCCCCTTAAGAAATTTAAGCCAGGCACCTACCACTCCTGCCAGTAATCCTAGCTACCCAGGAGGCTGAGATCTGAGGATTACAGTTCAAAGCCAGCCCAGTAAGGGAAATCTGTGGGAAATTTGTGATCTCAAATTAACCAGCAAAAAGCCAGAAGTAGAGTCTGGGAAGGTGGCTTAATGGTAGAGCGCTTGCCTTGCATGCATGAGGCCCTGATTCAATTCCTCAGCACCACAGAAGCAAAAAAAAAAAACACCAAAAAACTGGAAGTGGTGCTGTGGCTCAAGTGGTACAGTGCTAGCCTTGAGCTGAAGAACTGAGGGGCAGTGCCCAGGCCTAGGGGACAGTGCCCAGGCCCAGATTTCAGGCCTCATGACCAAAAATAAAGCCAGAAGTAGAGCTGTGGCTCAAGTGGTAGTGTACCAGCCTTGAGTGAAAAAGCTCAAAGACAGTGCCCAGGCAGTGACTTCAAGCCCCAATACCAGCACACACACACACACACACACACACACACACACACACAACACACACACACACACACACATCAAACACAGACAAAGTTATTTAACTTGTTCAAGGATCTATTACTTTTTAGTGGTAAGGCTAGGATTCAAGTCAGGCAGTATGGTGTGTGTTTGGGTCCGTATTTTTAATATGGCTACATCCACAAAACTCATTAAAATATATGCACAGGAAGCATTGCTAAAGAATAAATGCCATTGCTTAGATGTGATAATAATATTTTCCAAATGTTTGACTTCTATTTAGTCCAGTTAAATGATTGTACATGTGTGTTCATATGTGTGCATGTGTGTATGTGATGCTGAAATTAATCTCATTGGTGAAAGAAACCTATCACTTTGAAGACTTGGAGTCAGAGATCTCAAAGGGCATTTTAACTAAAGTAAATTGAAGGTTCCAGGAGGTGGAATTGTCTGGTTTTTAGGTCTCAAATACCAAAGGTTGAGAAGGAACATGTATTGGAAATAACACAATACTAATGTTCATTGCAGGGATTTGAATGGAATGGAGTACTGGCTTGCTTTAGAGAATAATTTTTTTGTCTTTTTCTCTCTCTCTGTCTTTGTCTCAGTATAGTAAAATTGGCTGAGTAAGTATAAACAAATAAGGAGACATTAATTTTAGTTCACTATACACACAGGACTTAATATTTATGTTGACCCTCTTGGAAGTCACAAACTCCATTCATACCAATTGGAACAGTGATTTGCTTTGATTAAGGCTCTCAATGTCTAATCCTGGGATAGATTTTTTTGTGTCCTAGAATCCTAGCATTCAAAGAGACTTTTTTTTTGGTGGCTATTCCTGGGGCTTGAACTCAGGGTCTAAGCACTGTCCCTGAGCCTCTCTGTGCTCAAGGCTAGCACTATAGCACTTGAGCTACAGTGCTACATCTGGCATTTTCCGCTTATGTGGTACTGAAGAATTGAACCTAAGGCTTCATGCATGCTAGGCAAGCACTGTACCACTAAGCCACATTCCCAGCCCCCAAAGAGATTTTTTTTTAAAGAAATCATTATTTTACTTTTAAAACATCAGTGATGTGAAAACCGAACTTGCTTTTAGTGACTTCTAAGGAAACCTTTTCTTACATATCAAGATGTTTAAAGAACACATTTGTCATTATCAGTAAGTTAGATGGTTTTTCCTGCAAATGACACAGAGCCCTTGTAGGCTTGAGGTTGGCTGCTCAGAGCTGTTTATCTGTGCAGCTGAAGGTTGGTCATCTAGATTTGACAGACAACAAAAGACTGATCTCAAACCATAAGGGACTTAACCATTTTCTTTGGATCATATGACATTAGGAACATTTTCCTTATGTCATCAAAACAATCCTCCTGTCATGGTTTTTCATTACAGAAACAGAGAATTTAAAAAGGCCAAGATATTGGCTCATGGCCCCTTGTTCTTCTAAGGGTCAGAGGGGGAACAAGAAAGAATAAATTGAGGCCACTGTGACATGCCTACCCCTACCAGCCACAATACCATGCCCCAGTGCCCAAATGCTCTCCAGAAGCCAATTCATAGTTATGATTGTACATAACTTCTTATATATATACATATATATAAATAAAACTAATTGTAAATATCTTGTACATATAACTAGATATATAGTTATATAACTATTTTGCATATATATATATAACTAATTGTATGTAACTTCTGTATTATATATAACTTCTGTTCAGTTTGTACAAAATCTTTAGGAAGTTTTGGTTAGCTAAGTGAATCAACTGTTTTTACCCTAACCTTCACCCCAGACCAAGCTGATTTTCTTGTGGAATGGTTACTTGGAAGTGTAGCAGTTTGCAATCATAGGCAGAGAAAGGAAGACGCAAAGACTAGGCCACTCCTTGGCTGGCCAATTAGCTTTGAATATTTCCTGAATCTAACTTGCAGATTTATATGAAGTGCAGCATTCTACCTGTATCCAGAAGGCCGCTTCCTTGGAGAGTTTTGGATGGAAGAATTCTCCATGAACATCAATGTATCCATGTTTTAAAAAAAAAAAAACCTCACCTAACAGAACAGAATCTACTGGACCATTTCAAATGGATGTGTTTTCTCATCAAATGTTAAGCACAGGTTTTTAGGACAGTAGGATGTTTACCATGTTGTTTTGCAGGAAATATTCTTAGTAGAACTGGAGGAGAGGGAATCACAAAACATATGTGGGTGGGTTTTTTTTTCCCCTACTCACCCTTGACCACATTTTCCCCCAAGGACTGTCGGATCTTGAGGAGGACAATCACAGTGTTTCAGTCTGCTGGCAAGTTTCCTTCCTGTCATAACTCTGCTTGAACCAGGCACTATGCACTGCTCCTGCCAATGTCTGACGTCATGGAACTCCCAGCATACAGAACCTGAAAACAGATGTGAGAAAGGAAAGATGGGTGAACTCTGGGAAGGTCAGGACATGTCCATCACTTAAGGATTGCATCACAGAGGCTGGAATACCCAAATTATAAGTGGAGTTCTTCATTCACCCCTTCATTCACTTATTCATACAATCAGGCAATTGGATTTATGGAGTTCTTTATGACATTACCTTTGCTTTCAAAGATTCATAATGAGATCTTATCTTCAGGACAGGGTAAAGTAAAAACACACAGTGCCATAAAATGGCGCAGCTACTCTGTTCACAGGCAGCAGATCAAGAGAATGCACAAAGGAGCGGGGAAGATGGACATGGGGGTCTTGAGGGCTGGGTGGGTGCTGGCAGGTGATCTCATCGAGGGTGGGCATGAGGAGAATCCTTCTTTGTCTAGAAGCTACGGCTTTTGTCCTGGATCTAGTGTTTCCTGCTCTCCCTGCTGCCTTCTCACCTCCACTTTAAACAATGTAACGTGTTGCTGCTTTTGATCAGTTTGAAGCCACCACTGATGCACCACCTACCCGGCACCAGTTGCTTGTGAAGGTCCCTTGAACCATATGCTTTTATTGTTTCTCGGAAAGGAGGAAGACTGGTGTGTGTGTTTTGGAAATGTGGCTTTTAAATAGCTGGAATGTGAAGCCTAGAATATTTAATATGTTGGAAGAAAAACTGTCTGGGCTTTGAGAAGACCAATGCTGGCCAATTTTACTTTCTTTTTATCTTCTCATGGCTGTAAGATTTGATTTTAAAGTTTGTGTGTGTGTGTGTGTGTGTGTTTCTGGACTGTCACTGAAATATACATTCTTAGAAAACTCCTGATATTAAAACCACATGGAACCATGGAAATCTTTTTGAGGATTGGTAATCTGGATCTTTGTAAAAAGAGAGTGTTTTTTTCTGCCAGAAACAAAAACAAAACTAAGTGAATGGGGGAATAGGGAAATAAGGGTTGTGCTGGGCACATAGCATACGATGTCCAGGAGACTATTGATGACCCATCCTCCTGCCCTCATGGGAGACTCTCCCTAGACCTGTACTCCAAGCAAAGAGGAATGAGAGTTGGCCTCCTTTTGCTTCTACCAGAATGGGAACAGTGTCCTATAATTTGGGTTTGATAAACACAGTATTTATCATCTTGGCAAAAGGAGGCAAAGGAATTTTCCACCAGCACACTTGCAGTGGCGGCAAGGCAGGAGGACATGGGCTGGTGATGACTCATTTGCTCTGCCTGCACCCAGGCATAGTTTTCTCTCGTGTCTCTGCCCAGACAGGGCTGAGGCCCAGCAAGTTATAAGTGACCAGTAGTCTTCTCTGTTCATTTCCTCTCTAGGTTCTCACACCTGGAAGCATTTCCACTGCCCCAGGAGGTGTCTGCTATTACAAAGGCAACTATAGGGAGTAGAATCCTCCTGGGGTATCCACTGAACTGTGGTCCCAGGGAACAGACACCAACACACAGGTGTGTGCATACACACACACACACACACACACACACACGTGCATACACTCACACCTTAAAAAACTCATTTTTTACTGGCAAATAAAACACACATGCAGACAACTGGATAAAACAAAGGTAGACAGAACTTGGTAAGTTGCTACAAATGTCCCTGTCTCTTAGTCTAAGACGCTAGTGTTGTGAAAGCTTTCTGAGTGCTTTTCCCACTGCAATGTCTTTTCTCTTTTCTTTCTTTCTTTTTTTTTTTTTTTGTGGGTACTGAGGTTTAAACTTGGGGCTTTGTATCAGTTTATTTGCTCAGCAAGTGCTCTACTGACTTGAACCATGCCTCCAGCCCAGCTTTTTTTCTGTTATTTTTCCTTTTTCTCCCCAATTTGCCCTTGAACTTCAATCCTCTGGATCTCAGCCAGCTGATAGCTAATAGCTATTAGCTAGGATTGCAGGTGCGAGTCACCAGTGCCATGCTGTGATCCTTTACTTTCATTCAAAGGCTGTTTTATCTTTAGTCCCACACAAGGGGAATTCAGTAGGAGGTCTGGCCCTCCTGTAGTTCATACCTTCTCAAGGGAGAGGAGTCTGTGGGTCAATGAGGCTGTCTGTCCTGTCCTTGGAACCCATATTTCCCTTCCAAGACCGTGCACTAAGTAGTGGACATTGAGATTCCTTGTCCAATGATGTGAAGCCTGTCTCCAGGTCTTTTCCTCCGGCCCACCTCCCAGAGGGGCGGTCAAGGCATGGACTCCAAAGGTTCAGGTTAGACCTGAGGATTGATGAATGCATAAACTTGAACATCAGGAGGTGTGGGGTGGATGTGAAAGTGGGTGGCTGGCCCAGAGACATGACACGTGTTTCAGAAAACAACTCCCTTGTCCAGACAGAAGGACAGATAATCTTCTTTTATAGCTTGTGAGTGTAAGTTATAATTCCTAAGTGGTTAGGATCATAATATGCCATGCTTCATTTTTTTTTTTTTTTACCTCAAGCTCTACAGGTTTTGGGGCTTTGGTGGTTGTTGTTTGTGATGATTTGATGAATCTTGAAAATTTAGTTTAGAAAGTCATACATTGATCCTCTGTTTTATAGCTCCTGATAGTAATTAGAAAATGTGAGTATTTGAAATGAATGTGAAAATAACTAATTACATCTAGCTATGATTTTGTATATAAGCAAATCAGTACTAAAAACATATCTGTGGGCCCCCATTTAGTGATTGTGGGGATTGTCTGCTGGAAAGGCACTGTCTTGACTTACAGTCTGCCCTTCTTTGCTTTCCTTAAGTTGTAATGTATGTGTGCATTCCGAGAGAGCAATCTTTCCTTGCTCAAGTTAGACGGTGCGTGTTCTGTGAAGCCTTCCTCCCAGAATCCTGCTGGTGAAATCCATTTATATTGTCACCTATGGCCACACCTTGCAATTTCATTGCTACAAGGCCCCATTTGCATTGAACAGCATTTCTCCATCCACACAAATGTTGATGGACATGGGGCCATGATGAACAGTGCTGTTACGGGGACTATTAACTGTGTCTACTGTGCAGACTTTGGGGAATGGGAGAGCGAGATGGCAGATGTATGTGTTCTCAAAATTAGCAGAAAATACAAAACTGTCTTACCAATCTACCTTCTCACCAGCATGTATCACAACGTCCACTGCTTCTCTTGGTATTTGATAGTTCTCTTTGTAATAGAACTATATTTAGTGTGCTATCACTTCGAACTTCTGATTTTTTTTCCCCTGAAACTATCTGTGTGTGAAGACATGACATGATGCTACTACTAACTTGGAGTTCTAAGTTTCCTGGTTCTCATATCAGCACACACATATGTAATGGTAAAAATAATATTTATACGCGAATAGCCATACTTTAGGGGTTTTGTTTATTATTTTTTAGGAGAGGATCTCACTATGTAGCTCAGGTTGTTTTTGAACTCTTTAGTCTTCTTTCGCCACCCAAGTGCAGGGGTTACAGGCATATACATCCATACTAGCCCAATACCGTATAGTTTTAATTTGAAATACAGGAGCTAAGAGAAGATCTGGAAGACTGTAGGGATAAAACCTAAGCTCTCAACAGACTTGGCCAGTGCAGTATTTTGAAGTACCCTAGAATAGGAGGTTGGAGCTAGGGGCGAACCGTCACAGTACCACGTACATGCCTGTCAGCAAGGCCCATCTTCCCTGCTACAGTTTGGATGTTTGAATGTTGTCCAGGGTCCCATTTGCAATGGTGAGGCCACCAAACTGGTGCTTCTGGGAGGAGGTGGAGCGTTGGATGGTGGGGCCTCCCGGGAGCTTCTTAGGTCATTGGGGGTGTGCTTTCAAAGAGGAGTGTGGTGTTCTGGTCTCTTCTCCCTATTTCTGTCCTGCAGATGTGAGCACTCATTCTTGTGCGTGCTCCCACCATGATGTGCTGACTTTACCACAGGCCCAAACCAGTGGGGCCTCAAATCAACTATAAGCTAAATCGTCCTGCTTTTCCTTTCTTCCGTAAAAAGTAGCCCATCTCAGGTATTTCACTATAGTAGAATAAAGCTGACTAAAATATTCTTATGGGGCTGTGTCTGTCCAGAGCACACTCGGACAGTCGAGGTAGCACTTGACACAATGCTGAAAGACACGGCTAGAGCCATTCAGGACTGTGGCAGAGGAGGACGAGCAGCTGGGGAACCTACCCGTGTGCAGCCCGTTAGCTTCCACATCTGGTAACATCTGTTTCCCCAGGAGGCAGCAATGCCATGTGCTCTGGTTGTTAGAAAATGAGGGCACAGGCAAAACTCGTTAGCAGAAATAGTCACAGGCTGCTCTCCTACATGCCCTCTTCCCTCGCTGTTTACTGAAGCCCCGGAGTTCCCTCGCTTCACTTTCTCTTGCCAGAATGTCCCACCTCCTTTCCCCGTTGTCCTTTTAATGTATTCTCCCTTCTGAATCCAAGCCATGGATTAACTCAACTGTTTACTTTCTCTGCATCCATTGCACAGCTGTTGAGCATTGCTAGAAAAGCCACCCACCCTGTCAGGCAGAGCCAATAAACCCCAGGGTTCCTAATGGACCCTTGTCATTGCCAGGCATCCTTTCTTGCTTCCATGGCTTGTGCACCCTCCCATCCTATAATTTTTGACTTAAAATGATAGTAGATCCTCTTTTGCAGTCATACATTGGATACCTGCTCTAGACCCAGGTAGTTGTAGTAAATTGCACATTGTGGTCATGTGTCTACCCTCCTCAACATCTCTAACTGTATTGTCTGGTATTTTCTGAGCCCACATCCCAAACCCTATTGTCATCTCCCTCCTACTTCCAGAAGGTAGAAGGAGCTATCTGAAGCATTTCCTTCAACTTCCCTGCTCCACATCTGTAAATTCACCTGACATCCAAACTCACTCCTTTCTCCTCCTCTCCTAGTGACCACAAAGGATCTGACTACCCCTGGGCCAAGCTCCTCCTCCACCTGCCACTCAGCACATCATCTTTTGCCTCCTCAGGGACATCTCTATGAACTATTTCCCCTCTCTTTGCCGAGAGAGAGAGAGAGAGAGAGAGAGAGAGAGAGAGAGAGAGAGAGAGAGAGAGAGAGAGGGAGAGGGAAGGAGACAGAGACAGAGACAGACAGAGACAGAGATAGAGATAGACAGAGACAGAGAGCAGAGAGAGACAGAGAGACAAAGAGACAGAGACAGAGACAGAGACTGTGTATGTGAATCAAGTGCTTCCTTGGCTGACAAAATCCTTTAGAGCCTTCATCCAAACAGATCACAAGGCTGCAATGTGAGTTGAATTCTGTTCCCCACCATAGGATGAAGTCCTAACTCTAATTACTTCAGAATGGGGCCTTATTTAGAATCAGGGTAATTACAAATGTATTACTTTAGAAAGGGATTGTAGTGAAGAGGAATGACTCTTGCCTAGTTGCTTATATGACTGGTTTTATAAAAGGAGAATTTGAACACAGACACACAGAGAGGGAAATGATATGTAAAAACATAAGAGAACTATCTACAAGCCAAGGCCAGAAGGCTGGAACCGCTCCTTCCTTTATTGCCCTCAACAGGAACCAACCTTGCCAACACCTCAATCATGGATTTCCAACCATCAGAATGGTGAGATAATGGATTTCTGTGGTTTAAACCACCCAGCAAGTCGTATTTGTTTCCCCATCCCTAAGATACTGTACTAGTGTTTTACTCATTAACTTCTGTGATGTATTAGCTGCCACTTTATGCAAATTTAGTTTATTTAAATCCTCCAAGCTTTAATCTCTTTATCTACTAAAGAAGCTGCATGAACATTTACCTCATGAGATCTCTATTAGGATTAAGTAGAAGAGCAGATAACTCGTTGATCATAATACTTGGCTGTATTAACTTATCTTAAATGACTGGGACATTTATTTCTTATAATTCCAGAAGCTAGAGGTCCAAAGTCAAGGTACTGACAAGGTATCATTCTGTATCTTCATGGGGCCCTTATTTTGGCACATGCTTTTGGACAGGTGGTGGTAAGGGAGAAAGGAGAACTCAATTCCTGGGATCCTTTTCATGAAGAAAATAACCCTATTGGATTAGGCCCTCATCCTCTTCATCCCTTTCAACTTGAATATTTTCTTTAGATGTCCTACCTCTGAACACAGATGTATAAGGGTTAGGGATTCAGAATTTGAGAGTGACATGTTTAGTGCATATCACTGAAATATGACAAATTATAAATATGAAGAATGATTATTTTGAAAAGCCCTCCTTAAACTCTGCTTTTTCCTTTGGGTATTGCCTAGCTTTCTCTTCCCCTTCACAGTTAGGTCACCATATTCACCAGACCTGGTTCATTCATTCTCCTAAGGAAATCTTGTTTCTGTGTGTGTGTGTGTGTGTGTGTGTGTGTGTGTGTGTTCCCCCCTTCCTGATTTGTGCCATGGATGGATAGATTTTCTAATAGGTAGATGGAAAGACCGAATGGATAGGTGGATGGAAAATTGTGAAAAAGCCTTAGAAAGCCTATGTTCCTCTCCTCCCACTTCAGGTCACTTTGTCTGAGACTTACAACCTTGTATTTTGTCCCTTGGGTCTCTGTTTCCCCATCTGCAGTATAAAGAGTCACATGTCACTATTTTTTTGGGGGGTCCGGTTGTAGGGCCTGAACTCTGGGCCTGGACACTGTCCCTCAGCTCTTCAGCTCAAGGCTAGCACTCTACCACTTGAGCCACAGCGCCACTTCCAGCTTTTTATTTCTTGCTTATGTGGTGCTGAGGAATCAAACGCAGGGCCTCAGGCATGCAAGGCAAGCGCTCTACCACTGAGCCACCTTCCCAGCCCATGTCACCATTTTTTTGTAAAGAAGTATAAGGAAGAGCAAACACAGAGGTAGTGTGGGAAGCAAAAATAGAAGAAAGACTCAAAACTCTTCCTTTTGGTCAAATCAGCTTCAGTTCTAAACACCTTATTATGTTTTATTTAAGTATTGTGTTGTATTTGAGAACTCTTGATAATGTTTGCTTTCAAAGTGTTTTATGATTTGAAAAGTATAAGAAAAACTTCGGATCTGGTTTAGGTGACATCTCAGTTCCTTTCCAACTACAATGGATTAGGATTATAAGAAAACTTTACAAGATAAAAAATGTGCATTTAGTGAACAGGCAGCAGATATTTTTCTCAAAAAAATGAGCTCGCTTTAATAAAATGTTTTCCTTTCCACTAGAAGAAATTGGTTTTAGGATTTACTAATGCAATATAGTTTGCAAGACTTTAAAGGCATGAAACATTCACAATTTAGTATAAAAAAACAATCTTTTGTCAGACCATATGTTGAGATGTGAAGTTCTGGAAGAATCTCAGTGTTCATAATGGGGCTGTGAAGCCTGTAGACAAGCAAGCACTCTATGGACCCTCAGACACTGAGGACAGCAAGCACAATAACAATAGCGGCTCCATCTTTGTTTTACAGGGCTCCAGCTCAGCATTTGGTGCGTAGTCTGCACTTAGCCAATGTTTGTTGAAAGAAGACATTAGATAAAGTAGACTTTAACTAGGGCTTTGTCCATTTTACTGGTAATTGGACAAGAAAAGAGGTTCAAGAATGGTAGAGAATCCAGAAATAGACTCCTCTTGACTCAGGAGTGGGTAAGAAGTAATTTAGGACAATCCTCTATCTGTCGGATCAAGAAAAGCAGCTTTTATGGCTAGTCCAATGTAGCCAGCAACACATACTTTTTGTTGTTGTTGCTTGTACCAGACAGTGTTTGAACTCCAGGCCTTATGTTTGCCTGGTTTACCAGGCTAGCCGTGTACTTACTACTTGAACATGCCTGCCTTTGGGTTGGCTTTTTACTGGTTATTTTTAGGGGTGGAATCTTGGAGACTTTTCTGCCCAGGCTGGCTTCCAACTGCATTCCTGTGGATCTCAGCCTCCAGAGTAGAGAGGATTATGAATATGACCCACTGTGCCCAGCTAGCACATTCTTCTGAGGCCCCTGAGTCTATTTCAAATAGAGGTTTCTTGAGCTACAGAATTATTAATCTTTCTTAGCAACTTCATTTCCCCAGGCTGCTAAGACCTGCTAAAAGTTCTGCTTGCTAGTTGACGATGGAGTCCTTCAAATGTGTTAGGATTTGCATGGTTTATTTTGTTTGGTAACTAAGACAGAGACAGAGGTAATTAAACCATTCATAAAACAGTCTATCAACCACCTGTGTGGAGGGCAGTAAAGACAGTTCTTCAGTTTTCTCTTGGGCCCTATTCAAGATCCTAACCAGGTTACTTGTAATAGATGCTTTTTTATGGCATCACTTTTTCCATCTGAATAAAAAGCACAAATAAATGCCAGTGATCTTGTTAGGTGATGAATGAGGGGAAATTTGTTGAAGATTGTAATGTATTGGACACCTTTGGATTGGGCTGAAGAGTCAAACTGGGTGGTTGGCTTGCAGTCACCAAGTTTAAATGCTGCTGGTATACAGCTTTTCAAAGGACTTTGGTTCTTATAGAAAAGTCCCTGGAGAAGACTGGCTTTTAAGTGGTACTGAGGTTTTCCAAAGATCTACAAAATGAAGCTTTCCTGGGTTTCAAATGGATAAGTCCCCAGAAAGTGAGATGAAATGTTCATCTATTTGGGCTTCTGAATGTGAGTCCTGGAGGCATAGCAATAAGTTAATTCATGTCTTAACATTTCCTACAAACAATAAGATATTCCAATTGAGGGCCAGAATCTGACCAAGAAGAAATACCTAGTGGGAGACAGTAATGGTCAGTGAAGTCACACTTCAAGGCCTTCTGAATCCTTTTGCACGTAGGTAACACCTTGCTGGTATCTGTCTCTGGGTTTGTTGGTGGTGGTGGTGGTGTTTGTTTTGCGTGGATTTTTTTTTTTGGACTAATCTTTTTCAGAATCTCCTGCCAAAAAGGAGGACCTTGTTTGTGGTACCTTCTACTCCTGTAGAGGTCTTGGATGGTGACTATTTACAAGGGCTGACAACTGCTTTACTCATCTAGTGATAATTTTTTTTGTCTCCTTTTACTAGGCCTCTGACTCATCAGTGCCCAGACCTTTGAGTTCCTTGTTATGTATGCTACTCAGGTACTTAGTCTACTGGAGTTGGGGTACAGAGAAATCCATTATGAAGTTGAGTTGGTAGAGGAAGTTCTCTTTTATCAGTCCCTGGTGGTTTTAGTTAAAATGTTCTATTAAGATAGTAAATGGAAAATTGCAGAAATGAACGATTCATAAGTTATCAATGATTTTCATTGCAGTATAG